TCTTCTTCTTCTTCTTCTTCTTCTTCTTCTTCTTCTTCTTCTTCTTCTTCTTCTTCTTCTTCTTCTTCTTCTTCTTCTTCTTCTTCTTCTTCTTCCTCCTTCCTCCTCCTTCCTCCTCCTTCCTCCTCCTTCCTCCTCCTCCTCCTCCTTCTTCTTTTGTTGGTCATGGACCCTGAACTCTGGGCCTGGGCGCTGTCCCTCAGCTCTTCAGCTCAAGGCTAGTGCTCAACCACTTGAACCACAGCACCACTTCCAGCTTTAAGTGGTACTGAGGAATTGAACCCAGGCCTCAGGCTTACAAGGCAAGCACTCTACCACTGAGTCACCTTTCCAAGATCCGTGCTTTCCTTTGGGCATGGTGCTTAATTCTCCTCTGGGAACAGCACCTGACAAGACAGTTGACTACTCCTTTCTTCTGTTCCTCTAGGGTGCTGCACTATTCCTAGGTTTTCTTCCTACATCTCTGCATGCTTCTCCGGTTTGCTATGGAGAATACTTTTCCTCTGCCCATTCACTAAATACTGAAGACCCTCATGCCTCTCTTCTAGATCTGCTTTGCTTTTGAATTTTTATTCTCTCCCTGAATTACTTCACTGACTTCTAGATTTCAGGTACCACTGCCGTGCATATGACTCACATTTTTACCTCCAGCTTAAACTCTTGACCCACATATTTAGCTCCTTACTTTTTTGGAGTAATCTCTTGAGCTCAAATTGCCCAAACACGTACATAGTCTTACTCTAAACTTCCTCTTTCTCTGTTGTTTCTGGAACCTATAGGTAGCATCTACCCCATCAGGAAAAACAGTGATTTGCAACCATCATCTTCATACCTTTTTCCTTTATTCCTTAGACCCCATCCACCAACACAGTTTATGTATCTCTGTTTCAGCTGACTGTCCCTTTTATTACATCTCTGAATGTCCACTGTCATTGCTTGAGTCTAAACAACTATCACCTTCTACCTGAATGCCTGCAATGGTCTCAAAACTCATCTTTCTGACCCACTTTGGTTCCCTACGGATGCTGTAATGATCTGTTGGAAATACAAATCTGATCACGTCATTACCTCCACGAGGCACATAAATGACTCTCTTTCTCTCACGCTCTCTGTTTCTTGGGTATCAGTAAAAGCCCCTCATTGTGGCCTGTAATGTCCTGTGTGAAATGGTCCCTGCTACCTTACCAGCTTCTCTTTTAGCCTGCTCTCCTTGCTTTCTTGTTCCCCTGAATGCCTTTCATTTCTAGAAGTTGTCCTGTCAACCATAGCCTAAGCAGTTTGTTCCCATGGACTCCTCCCACACTTCCTTCTCCTGTTGCAGCCCTGGTGTTCACCCGACTGGCCACTGCCTCCAGAAGTGACTCACTGCCTTGTGACTCACCTTGCCAAAGCCATGCACCTCTCTGTTCAAGCCTGTGACAAAATGGAAGGTTTCCTTTTACTGATTCTTGGTTATTTCATTGTATCCCCTTCAGTCCCATTAATGATAGACTCTTGGCGAATAGGAAGTGTACCCATTCTGCTCATCACAATCTCACCAAATGCCCATCCTCTTGTAGGTGCTGGTAACCATTTCATTAGACCAAACTGACAACAATGTTTCTAGGGTAAGAGGAGTCTCTCCAGAGGCTGTCTAACCTTTGCCCTCCCAACCTCTAGAATAGGATCAGGCACAACTAAGTTAAGTTTAACTATATCAGTGAGTCAGTGCTCTAGAGAAAACTCTTCATCCAAACAAGACTGATACGGAGGCATTGTGATTTGAGGTTCTTACACTTCTTAGAGATCTCATCTTTGGAGTTACCTCAGTCTTACTCGGAGCTAACCCCTACTCTAGAATGTCAGCCTGCCCCTGCTAAAGAGGAGAAGGAGTTGCTCCAATTCACTTCAGGAATTTCAGGAATTCTCTAGTCTATAGATGGGCAGAGCCAAGCCTTCTCAGCTGACCTGGAATTTGATGAATTGGTCTTGCCTTGAGCTGGTGAAAGAGGTTCTTAAATTCTGACACCCACAAGTACTTTGGGGAGGGAGCTTTCTGGCCCTACAGACAACATAATTTGACACATGGCACATGGTTGCTCAGGAGAAAAATGATGCACGAGTGAGTGACTAAAGCAAATTATATCATTCCATATTCATCTGTTACACAATTCTTGAGAGGAGGAGGGGGAATTCCTGTGCTGGTCACTGCGTCAGTGACACAAAGAGGATGCGACCCCTGATTCTCGAAGAACCCATCTTCGTTCTTCAGTTTGGGTAACTCCAACTAGTTCAAGTTACAGCAGTTTAGCTAAAGTGCTCTGAGAGAGAATGTACTCTGCACTCGTTCTGAAGCAAAAAGGAAGAGGTGCATCAGTGTGCTGGAGGGCTGTTCTCAAACCTCAGTGTGTCTGGTGAATCAGAAATGAAGCTTATGGGTATTAGCATCTCTTACATTCTTGACTCCACTGAGTTCTGTGAATGCATCACTAAAACAAGGAGAAAATTTGATTTGGTTCCATAAGGACAAATGTCTGTGTGGGCAGCGACATCATCCCTTTAAGCTAAACTCTGAGCAAACCACAAACATTTAGAGAGCCTCTATTATGAGTCAGGCTCCATGCTAACATGGGGAAAACAAAGATAAACAGAGCATAATCCTGCCCCCAAGGATCTTATAGACCAGTGGGGAAGACAGATGGGGAAACAAATAACTAATAATATCAGTACATTCTGGTAAGAGATAACTTTGAGGCATGTGCAAAGTATTACAAAGTTTTATCCAAATTTAGAGAAGAGAAAGAAACTCTCCTAGGGGCCAAAGAAAGTGCATTGGCTGATAAAGGATGAATGGGTACTGATGTGGCAGAAAAGTAGGGATAGGTTAGGGAACAGATGCTTTGGACTTTAATCTGCCTTATACAAATGAAGTGCCAGTGGGCATATAAAGACAGCAAGAGAAAATGGACAAATGGGGGCTGGTATGTCCCCTGGACCACTCCAGACTCTGAAACAGGAAGTTAGTTTAGAGGCTGGGCCTTGGTTTTCTTCCATTATTTACTTTTCTATGGCATAAGCAATGTGGTCATTTTAGGTAGAAAGGAATAGAGGATTTAGAAGTCTTGAAAGTTGAATTTGAGGTTTCTGACTATGGAGTCAGCAGACCTGTGCCACCCTGACTCTTGCCTACCAACCATGTGACTTCCAGCACATCCCTTTATTTTCTCATCTAGGAAATGGGCAAATCAGTACCTACCTTCAAGACTGCTGTATGAGTTGACCAAGCTAGATCCAAGAGTCACCCAGCACAGGGCTAAGAATATAAGTAGCCAGCTCCCTGCTTTCCTCTACCAGGGACTGAATCAACAAATCCACGTCTGGTAGAGCACAGAGCCTCATATAAATGCCCAGTGTACAGTAGATCCAACCTATGTTTTTGGAACCCAAGGCAAACTCTCTCTAATGCACTAAATTTGTATCCTATCATTTGTTGCTTAATAAGAAACAGAACAATTATTGTTATCATTTTATTTTTAAATTTCCAAGGCTTTGAATTGTGTTGCCTCAGCCCACCATTTTTTTAAATCATGTAACTGTCATTTTATTTATCATAAATGTCTATGGACCCACAAGCTAGATGGTAGTTGTAAGGGACAAAGTGGAAAGCAGAAGCTTCTACTTGATTCCACTAGAAGGACAGGATATTCCTACCCAGCAGCTATCAAACCCATGGAAGAACTGACTTAATTTCCCTGCATGTCCATCCCTTCTTCCAAAGGATCAAATAAGAATCCCAAACTCACTGAGGATTAAATTCTCAAAGTGGGGATTTAAAATGTCTAGGCAGTTCCTAGAGCAGTGCCTGGCACATAGCTCTTTGGTTGCCATGGTGTTGTCATTGTGAATGTTGTCCAGTCACCTAAGCCTTCTTAACATCTTCCTCCTTCCTATTCCTCCTCCAAGGCGCCTCCACCCAGAATTCCAACACCGTGGAGCCAGAGAAGCAGGTGGACAACACCGTGAAGATGGCCGGTGTGATCGCTGGCCTCCTCATGTTCATCATTATTCTCCTGGGGGTGATGCTTACCATCAAAAGGAGGTGAGTCTCTCATGCTTCCCGGAAGACACCAATGACCCCAGGTGACCCCCAGCACTCCCATGTGGCCAGGCCATCATTCCATCAATCACTGTCCATTCAGGAATCTTCTGATATCATGGTTGAGGTCCTAAAATACTTGAGTCTACTGGGACTCTTTTATGGTATTTGAAGGATGGGTGCCACTGGCTGGGCTAGTAACCCCGAGAAGGCTAGGTTTTTATGGGACCAGTTGTTTCTATAGCTTGATGTGCCATGAGATTCTGCTTAAGTGAGTCTTCTTGGCCTTCACTGCTTGGCTTGTGATTGCCATTGAGACAGCTAAGGAGAGGCCCCGGAATCAGATGAGCCTAGAAATACAGTTGCAAGAAAGGAATGCATCAGTTCTCGACCTCTGTCCGCCCCTTGATGTGCATTGGTCAAGTGGCAGCTTCTTGAGCTGTCCGCAAAACCTCCAGTTGGGTGAGGGTCTCAGGAATTCTCCTCCTATCCCCAAGCTCTTCCCACTCCATGTCCTGCAAAACCTTCCCAGCTGCTTGTTTCTGCTTGTCATCTCTCATCAGGATACTTTTTCTGGGCACATCTGGCCAGCTAACACAGTTTTCTCATAGTATGCATGCATTGCTAATGAAATAAGTGCCTTATTCCCAAGCGGTACTGCCCAGCAATTCTGTTTAAGAGCTGTTCCCAAGGCTTGAGGATAACACAAGACAACTTCCAAGTGTAAGGGAGGTCAGCTAGCAGTGCGCACCTTAGGACTCATTGGTTAGTCCTCTAAATAAGGAGTAGCCCCTGCCTGTCACCGCACGCCACACCTGTTTCCATCTCCATGGCTTCTCAGTGCATCGCCAAAGTTCCAATCTTGGTCTCCACTTTCCCACTTTCCAATCCTCAAAGCACCAGTGAAGTATTGATCTGTATTATAATAATACGAATCATAACATGTGCCACCTCCCCCCCCCGGTGAAAACAGCCATTTACATTATTAGCCAAACTAACACCTCAGCCTGAAGCTCTGGGTTTGGTTACATATGACTGCAGAAAATATGTGTAGAAAGTGTATCTCCATTTCCAGCTATCAGAGACTCAAAAAAACCTAGAAGTTACCAGTAAAAGCCACATAAGCACCAGAATTCTCTCTCTCTCTCTCTCTCTCTGTCTGTCTGTCTGTCTCTCTCTCTCTCTTTCTCTTTCTCTCTGTTTCTTAGGGCCTGGATGCTATCCTGTAGCTTTTTTGTTGAAGGATGGTGCTCTATCACTTGAACCACACCTCTGCTTCTGGATTTTTGCTGCTTAATTGGATATAAGAGTCTCTCAGATTTATCTGCCTGTGCTGGCTTTGAACCACAATCCTCAGATCTTAGCCTCCTGAGTAGCTAGGCTCACAGGTGTGAGCTACCAGCACCCAGACGGACTAGGATATGTCATTGCCAGAACTTTGCCCTTTCTTCATATCTTTGTCTAATGCCATCATGATTCTGTCCTCAAACTGCCAGAAGAATGGCTTGAGTTAGCATTCTCATCTAGCTACTGATTTTTCTGTTGGAGAAACTAGAGTGCATTCTGTGAACATTGGTGGTAAGGAGCCCTCAAAGGGCTAAAGCCAGCACTGCATCCTCTTACCACCATTGACAGAACAGCATCAGCTGCCATTATGAGTTAGACCAATGCACCGTGATTTCCTGGAGGCAGTAAGCACACTGCGCATATAGGATCATTGACAAATTTCTTAGAGATGTCTCACTGATGTTATTAGAGGCAGAGGTAAGGCTGGTATTGTCTACCTGGGAAAAAGTGACCAATTTAACTGAATTGAATATCTCTTGATAGACCTGAAATTGTCTCATTCTTTGCCTCTGATTTGTAAGTCAGATATGCTCTTCCAATTTTGCTCTTTCTAAAGCCTCGCTTAACCCACGTCACCATTGTCTGTGAGCTTGTGAAGAAATTTCACTTCCTTCTCCACAGCTATTTCTGAAAGGTGTGACTTTCTGGGAACAAGGAAAGGGCTTTTTTTTTCTGGGTGGGAGCAAGTAGAAAGTGAGTCTTTGTGTGGTTTCAACCTCCTCTGAATATCTCTTCATCACCTCCCATGTCTATTGGAGTGCTCATCTGGCCCAATCAACAGGTTTCACATGACTACCATTTCTTTCCAAAGTGCAAAACTCTGACATTGTGGCAATAGTACATGTGGATGTGGGTACTGACTGGTTTTTGCATATGCTGTATCTTTTGGAGAAATAGGAGGTTTTCTAGTCTAGATGATGGTACAATTTACAGATGGTATGGGAGGGGAAAAAAGGGTGATAAAAGAGGAGAAAAGGAAGGGAAGGGAAGAGGAAGAAGGGAGAAGAGGAAAGAAAAAGAGGAAAAAGGAGGACAGGAAAGGGCATGAAAAGAGGGGAGTCGAGGGGAGGAGAAGGGAGAGAGGAAAAGAAATGTGTGTCCCATGTCATTATATAATGACACACTTTGTATTCATGAGCACCAAGCTGTGTCTGACATGGAGAGATTCCCCATTGATTCATTCCTCCAATCCTGAGTTTATTTTACCCTTTGCCTCCTCCCCTTAGACTAATTCTCTAGCCTCCTTCAAAGAAATTGGTAGCCACCGGTCTACAAGGCCACCAATATTTTATGTCACCTAATATCATGTGGTAATGCGTGTCTTCGATATATAGTAAAGTAGAAAATTCAAGTCTTAGTGCCTTCACCAGTATATGCTGGTGGTTGAAAGTTGGTGGTTGAAAGCCACTTTCATATGAGAAGTTCTACGAGATGTGAAATGAGATTCCTGTGCGCTCAGGTTTTATATAATTCAAATGGCATGACACCAGACCACTTTGGAGCACGATCCAAAGCTTCAGGCATGGCCTGGTGTGGGGAAATACCAGTGCCAGGTTGGCAAACATGTACCCAGGACATCTCCAAATCCCTCATGAACTCTTCCATTTCATTTTTTTAATGAGAACTAAGAAAATTTTAGGAGGATATGTTGAAGGCACGTCCCAGAATGGTTCTAACTCCCAATATCGCTTTCTCTCCTGATCAGTTCCTCTTGATCCAGATGAACTTTCAGCCCAATTATGCCTTTCCAAAGAGCAACTTTCCTGAGAGTGTCTTGGAATATCTTGACTTTGGATTATGAAAATCTATTCTGAAAGACTGTGTGTGTACTAATTTCCCTATAATTGGCATTGCCCACCATTACCTCCTCCCAGTCTAATGGATGGAAGATACTGTGTTTGTGGATCGAGAATAATAAAAACAGCATCCCAATTTCTACAGTCCTGTTGATAACTTTGGAGGATCCATGTGACAAATTTCTGCCTGGGCTATCTCAGGTGTGAAATGCAGCCAATCTTAGGAGCTCTTCTGGAGATTCACTGAGCTCATTGTCAGAATGGGTTTCATTCCCAACACCTGCATAAGGAATTACAGCCCTGACAGGGAAATTCATCTTACGCACGATCAACAAAGATACCAGGCCCGAGCAGATCCACCATTAAGATGTTATCAGTGGTGTCGCAATCAGTACTCATACCTGGACCTCACTTCATTTTCTATTTAAACCACTGCAATATTTCAATTGTCATTCTATAATCAGAGCTGAATAGGTCTGTTGATGCCACTGATGCTCCTCGAGGTTTTTGTTATTGTTTCCTTCTTTTGTTTATTTGTTTTGGGTTTAGAAGAGGTAACTAAAGTTTGAAGAATTATTGAAGTTGTCCAAGGCCGTAGGCTGCATTGAGATGCGAACTCAGGCTCTGTGACTCCAAAGCTCCAAGAAGACTAGTAGAAAGTAAGCACATCACAAACTAGGAAACAGATGGCTCAGGTTCAGATACCACTTTTCCTCTCTAGGATTATTTTTCCCCAATTTTACTAGATCTTGTCTTTGGGTATGTGTCCTTGAATTAAAAGTCCTGACAGTCCTTTTCATTTACAAAGTTTGTATTGCCCTCTAAACTTGAGCCCCAAATCCTTCTAATCAAGACTTCCAAGAAGTACTTACCTTCGTAGCAAACATTTCCTGTAAACATTCTACCCCAGAAACATCCAGAGGCATTCCCCTGCCTCCAGCCCCTGGGACATTTGATTTCTGATCATACTACCTGGTAGCTTTGCAGGCCTGAACAAGGCATCTCCCTGTGGGGATGAGTCTTCAGCTTTATTCCTCTGCCACTGAAGTTCTATTATTTTGTATTGTCTGCCCCTGGAAATCCTCAAGCATTTCATAGTTAAGGCCAAAATCATTACCTACTCCTTAAACTATTCCATATCAAGTAGGATGGAGTATTTTTTCAAGTCAAATATTCTACCTATTTGTCAAACAAATGGCATTTCATCATGTTGGACTCTTCTAAGCTTGCATCTTTACATTTTCTTGATCATTCTTCCTTCCCATTCCCTTCCATTCTCTCTTCCTCCCTCCCTCCTTCCCTCTCCCCTCCCTCCTTCCCTCCCCCTTCTTCTTTTCTTCCTTCCTTCCTTCCTTCCTTCCTTCCTTCCTTCCTTCCTTCCTTCCTCCCTTCCTTCCTTCCTTCTTTCCCATTCCCTTCTGTGCTTGCTTGCTTCCTCTCTCTCCTTCCCTCTTCCCTTCTTCCTTCCCTCCCTTCTTCTCTAGTAAATCTCTCCTTACCTCCGATCTAGACACACTTCCTCTGCCATCTGGACACCCTCTGTGGGGATCCAAGTGTGTTTTGTCTAACCCTTGTCATTTGTATTCATATCCTGCCTCTGTTACTGACCTTCATCTGTCTGTTCTGATTCATCCTTATCCCACATCTATCTTATACATAGAAAGTATTTCCTAAAAACATTTGAATAGAGTAGCCCAGTGAAATCAAAACACCTGGAACCAGGATTAACACTCTGTGTCTTAATGTAACATCATTTGTAATGCAGACCCAAATACCAGCCTTCAGCGTGGATGATGTATGAAGTGCTGAGGTAGGGAAGTGAGTAGGAAAGATGGAAGAGAAAATGTAAAAGACTCCTCT